CATACACATACTAGGGACAATTTAGACAGGAGCCAATTAACCTACCAGCATGTCTTTGGAGTGTAGGAGGAAACTGGAGTACTCGGAGGAAACCCACGCAGGCACAGGGAGAACATGCAAACTCCAGGCAGGTGGTGCCGTGGTTGGGATTCGCACCAACAACCCCAGTGCTGACAGGCAGAAGAACTAACCACTTAGCCACTGTGCTGCCCAACTATTCAACTTTTGTCAAAGTCACATCGTTTGTTTTGTCTCCACAGACGCCCCTCACCTGCACAGGCAGCTCTTTGGTGAAGGTGAACTATGTATGTTATGTGTAATAAAATACTCCAACACACCTACTGATACACCAGTCACACCCTTTTATTGGATGTCATTAGATCGGCAACACCATGGCCTACAAAATGCTGATGCACCTGGCAACTGCAGCTCCTGTTTAACTATAAAATAAAAAAGGAGAGATCCCTGCAGGGGTAACGAGCAGACAAGGAGGCATAGGAGACACCCAACACCTATGTTATGCTGCAGCCAATCATAGCAGGTTCCATTTATGTGAACAAAAAGGCTTGTACGGAGGGGACGCGTATGGAGTGGCACTGGTCTTAGTAGCAGGAGGCTGCATTGGAAACGTACCCAACAGAGGAGGAGAGAGTCCCAACATCACTGCTAAGGAGGACCCCATCCTTTGGAGGAGTATTAAGCTGCAGCATAAGGCTCATTAGTCCTGAGGGGCCTGGGCAGGAAGGTGAGGGGGCACCCCAGGCACTGAGGATTGTCACGCAATTTTGAGCACCTGCATGGAGAGTGTTTTTTCTATTCATAAGGACACTTTTCTGTTCATGTTATAATTTGCATGTTCTATATCCCCCCATAAGGGATTCATGCACAAGTTCAGCACTTATTGATCCCTCCATTGAGGGTCGTTTTCAACCTATGAGATTTGAGCCTCTTGTGGCATACCTGTTATTTTAGCCATTGATGTGTTATTGTACTATTTAGCGCTGCACTACGTTTATATTGCATTGTTTTGGGGCCGAGGTACTCCAATATAGTGCTGGCTGCATAGTGTTTACAGTTGCAAGAAAAAGTATGTGAACCCCTTGGGATTACGTGGAGTTTTGCATGAATTGGGCATAAAATGTGCTCTGAACGTCATCTAAGTCACAACAATAGAAGAACACGGTCTGCTGAACATAATACTACACAAACATTAGATGTTGCCATGGTTTAATTGCACATAACATGTAAACATTCACAGTGCAGGGAGGAAAAAGTATGTGAGGCCCTAGCTTAATGACTTCTCCCAGAGCTAATTGGAGCCAGGAGTGAGCCAACCTTGACTCCAATCAGTGTGATGTTGGATGTGTTGCTGACACCTGTTTTAGGTTTACTGGTTTCAAGAAGCACTGTCTGATGTGAACCATGCCTCGCAGAAAAGAGCTCTCAGAAGACCTACCATCAAGAATTGTTGACTTGCATGAAGCTGGAAAGGGTTACAAAAGTATCTCCTTGAGCCTTGATGTTCATGTGTCCACGGTAAGACAGACTGTCTACAAATGGAGAAAGTTTAGCACTGTTGCTACTCTCCCTAGGCGTGGTCGTCCTGTAAAAATGACTGCAAGAGCACAGCGCAGAATGCTGCATGAGGTAAAGAAGAATCCCAGAGTGTCAGCTAAAGACCTACAGAAATCTCTGGCACATGCTAACATTTTTGTTGACACATCTACAATAAGGAAAACATTAAACAAGAATGGAGTACATGGGAGGACACCACGGAGGAAGCCATTGCTGTCCACAAAGAATATTGCAGCACGTTTGAAGTTTGCAAAAGAGCACCTGGATGTTCCACAGCACTACTGGCAAAATATACTGTGGACAGATGAAACCAAGATTGAGTTGTTTGGGAAGAACACACAACACTATGTGTGGAGAAAAAAAGGCACAGCACACCAACATCAAAACCTCATCCCCACTGTGAAACATGGCGGAGGGAGCATCATGGTTTGGGGCTGCTTTGCTGCCTGAGGACCTGGACAGATTGTTGTCATTGATGGGAAAATGAATTCCAGAGTTTATCAAGACATTTTGCAGGAAAACGTACGACCATCTGTCCGCCAACTGAAGCTCCGCAGAGGATGGGTGATGCAACAGGACAATGACCCAAAGCATACAAGTAATTCAACAAAACAATGGCTGCAACAGCACAGAATACGCCTTCTGGAGTGGCCCAGTCAGAGTCCTGACCTCAACCCCATTGAAATGCTGTGGCATGACCTTAAAAGAGCGATTCACACCAGACATCCCAAGAATATTGCTACACTGAAACAGTTTTGTGAAGAGGAGTGGTCCAAAATGACTCCAGATCGTTGTGCAGGTCTGATCTGCAACTACAGGAAACGTTTGGTTGAGGTTATTGCTGCCAAAGGAGGGTCAACCAGTTATTAAGTCCAAAGGTTCACATACTTTTTCCTCCCTGCACTGTGAATGTTTACATGTTATGTGCAATTAAACCATGGCAACATCTAATGTTTGTGTAGTATTATGTTCAGCAGACTGTGTTCTTCTATTGTTGTGACTTAGATGACGTTCAGAGCACATTTTATGCCCAATTCATGCAAAACTCCACGTAATCCCAAGGGGTTCACATACTTTTTCTTGAAACTGTATGTGTAACAGCGCAGGAGTACTTTCTATAGCTCCTGTTTAACCCCTTCATGCCGACCGTATGCAAATATGCGGCCTCTCGGTGTCTGGGCCTTGAAGCCGAGCGGCCACATATTTGCGCACCCAGCACATATGTCGGTATCTCACGGAAAGGTTCCAATCTCCCCTTGCGATTGCGAACTTTGCTGATCAAGTGATAGTGAATCACGGCGGTCACATGACCCTAAAATACCACCCCGCCTCCCGGCATCTGAAACCCCTTAAAGGGCCGGGTGGCGCCGGTGTGAAGAGGTTAATATTGAAACTACCAAGGATACGGAGTCAGACTGAACCCTGCAAGAGAACTGGACTCCAAAGATCAGGGAAGCTTTGGTTAAAATCATTCTAACTCTTCATTTTTAAAAAATAACAAACATGTCGTACTTACAGGGGTTTTACACAGAGCAGCCCTGATCCTCCTCTTCAGAGGTCCCCTGCTGGAGCTCCTGGCTTCTCTTCAAACAAGTGCCTCCATAGTGAGCTGCTAAATATGGGGGCACTCATGCGGACTGGATCCTGAGCCACATTCAGGGGCGTCCCAAGGCAGGTGCGGAGGGTGCGTGCCGCACCGGGTGACACCTACCGCACGGGGTGACACGAGACCCGCTCCACGAAAAGGTAAGTTGTAAAGCAAGCTGACGATCCCCGCAAGATGATCCTGCAAGCAAGCCGAAGATGACCCGCAGGACAGCTTTCTTTACAACTTACCTTTTCGTGGAGCGGGTCCGGTGTCACCCCGTATAGGTTGCATGCTGATGATCCCCGTAGGATGGATGGGATCTGTGGATTGGGGAGCATAATGGATCGGATTCCGATCCATTATGCTCAATCTGCAGATCCGAATCATCCTGCGGGGATCATTGGCATGCAACCTATACGGGGTGACACCGGACCCGCTCCACGAAAAGGTAAGTTGTAAAGAAAGCCGACGATCCCCGCAGGATGGATGGGATCTGTGGATTGGGGAGCATAATGGATCGGATTCTGATCCATTATGCTCCCCAATCCGCAGATCCGAACCATTCTGCGGGGGATCGTAGGCATGCAACCAATACGGGGTGACACCGGACCCGCTCCATGAAAAAAGGTAAGTTGTAAAGCAAGCCGGCGATCCCCGCAGGATGGATGGGATCTGTGGATTGAGCATAATGGATCGGAGTCCACTCCATTATGCTCCCCAATCCACAGATCCGATCCATCTTGTGGGGATCGTCGGCTTGCTTTACAACTTACCTATTTGAGAAGCGGGTCCGGTGTCACCCCGTATAGGTTGCATGCCAACGATCCCCCGCAAAATGGATGGGATGTGCGGATTGAGCATAATGGATCAGAATCCGATCCATTATGCTCCCCAATCCACAGATCCGATCCATCCTGCGGGGATCGCCGGCTTGCTTTACAACTTACCTTTTTTCGTGGAGCGGGTCCGGTGTCACCCCGTATAGGTTGCATGCCGACGATCCCCGTAGGATGGATGGGATCTGTGGATTGGGGAGCATAATGGATCGGATTCTGATCCATTATGCTCAATCCGCAGATCCGAACCATTCTGCGGGGGATCATAGGTATGCAACCTAAACGGGGTGGGTGACACCGGACCCGCTCCACGAAAGAAAGCCGGCGATCCCGGCAGGATGGATCGGATCTGCGGATTGGGGAGGATAATGGATCGGAGTCCAATCCATTATGCTCAATCCGCAAATCTGATCCATTCTGCGGGGATCGTCGGAGGGGGTGTCACCAAGTGTTACCGCACCGGGTGACACCAAGCCTAGGGAAGCCCCTGGCCACATTGACTGCATCCATAGACACAGACAGTGTGGCTCAGCCCTGCCTCCTACTCCCTCATCACAGGATTTGATTGACAGCAACAGGAGTCAATGGCTCCCACTGCTGCCTCTTTATCCAGTGAAGAGAGAGAGCAGAGAGAACCACTGCACACCTCCAAGTCTGGTGCGTGACACCATGTCTGTGCAGACACATAACAAACTGCCACATCCCAACACAGAACCCTCCAGATGTAACAGAAGATACGTCTTGATTTGAACACCTCCTCTCCATGTGTGAACACAGCAAAGTCTGGGGGGAGATCTCTGATGTCAGACAATGGCCGCTCTGTCAGTTACACGCACATTCAATTGGTTGGTCCCCCTGATAAAGATTTTCATGTGTGAGAAAATAAAATGATGGGAAATACACTTCCCACACTGGGTGCATTGATATGGCTTCTGTCTGTGAATTCCCTCGTGTGTGATGAGGATCGATCTCTGGGAAAACGACTTGCCACATCCAGAACATCAATCTGGCTTCTCCCCGATGTGAACTCGTTCGTGTCTGGTAAGAATAGACTTCTGGGAAAAACATTTCCCGCACAGGGAGCAGGAATACGGCTTCAGCCCCGTGTGAACCCTCTCGTGTCTGTTAAGATCCGATTGCTGGAAGAAACGTTTCCCGCACTCTGCACAGGGAAACGGCCTCTCCCCGGTGTGGACTCGGTCGTGCTTTTGTAGATGCAGTCTCTGGGAAAAGCATTTGCCGCATACGGAACAGGAATAGGACTTGTCCCCCGTGTGCAGGATTTCGTGGCGGCTAAGAGTAGATTTGCGGTTAAACCGTTTCTGGCACTGGGAACACGAGTATGGCTTCTCTCCCGTGTGAATCATTTCATGGATGACGAGAGCCGATTTGTATAAAAAACATTTCCCGCACTCCCAGCAGGAAAACGGCCCCTTCCCCGTGTGAGCGCTCTCGTGTCTGAGAAGGAGTGATTTGTACGGGAAACATTTCCCGCACTCAGGGCAGGAATACAGCTTCTCCTCCGGTTCACTTTCCTGAAATAAAACAAATTCAGTTCTCTCTGTAAGACACTCACTGTGCTCAGAACTTGGGAGCATCTCTCCTCCTGGACTAACGTTTTGATTGGTGGCAGTGAGGGTGTCGGGATAAAATATCTCATGGGTGGAAGGAAGAGACAGATCATCACAGTGAAGTTCCGGAGAGAGATTTGAGCTGATGGATGTTTTTCCCACACAATCCGATGTGATATCATCATCCACGTCATGAAAGGGGATCGTAATTTCCATAATGTCACCGTCGTCGTGTCGTCCATCTGCAGGACACAAGAAATGGACAGAAAATGTATTTATATATATGTGTATGTAAAGGATTTAAGTCATCTCTTTAGAACAACCATTCTAAACTAGGGTCCTTCCAGAGGTCACCAGAGCTGTGCCTGATTGACCTCCAATTTCATGGTGGCTGTACAGTTCCCGAGTCAACACCACTTGGCAGAGACATCAGTATGACACCAATGATCTTTAGCCATCTGCATGTGGGAGGTTATTCCTACTGACCCCCAATGTAAGGGACATTCTTCCCACTGACCACCAATGTAAGGGACATTCTTCCCACTGACCACCAATGTAAGGGACATTCTTCCCACTGACCCCCAATGTAAGGGACATTCTCCCCACTGACCACCAATGTAAGGGACATTCTCCCCACTGACCTCCAATGTAAGGGACATTCTTCCCACTGATCACCAATGTAAGGGACATTCTTCCCACTGACCACCAATGTAAGGGACATTCTTCCCACTGACCCCCAATGTAAGGGACATTCTTCCTACTGACCCCCAATGTAAGGGACATTCTTCCTACTGACCCCCAATGTAAGGGACATTCTTCCCACTGACCCCCAATGTAAGGGATATTCTTCCCACTGACCCCCAATGTAAGGGACATTCTTCCCACTGACCCACCAATGTAAGGGACATTCTTCCCACTGACCCCCAATGTAAGGGACATTCTTCCCACTGACCCCCAATGTAAGGGACATTCTTCCCACTGACCCCCAATGTAAGGGACATTCTTCCACTGACCTCCAATGTAAGGGACATTCTTCCCACTGACCCCCAATGTAAGGGACATTCTTCCCACTGACCCCCAATGTAAGGGACATTCTTCCCACTGACCCCCAATGTAAGGGACATTCTTCCCACTGACCTCCAATGTAAGGGACATTCTTCCCACTGACCACCAATGTAAGGGACATTCTTCCCACTGACCCCCAATGTAAAGGACATTCTCCCCACTGACCACCAATGTAAGGGGCATTCTTCCCACTGACCACCAATGTAAGGGACATTCTTCCCACTGATCACCAATGTAAAGGACATTCTTCCCACTGACCCCCAATGTAAGGGACATTCTTCCCACTGACCACCAATGTAAGGGACATTCTTCCCACTGACCACCAATTTAAGGGACATTCTTCCCACTGACCACCAATGTAAGGGACATTCTTCCCACTGACCACCAATGTAAGGGACATTCTTCCCACTGACCCTCAATGTAAGGGACATTCTTCCCACTGACCCCCAATGTAAGGGACATTCTTCCCACTGACCACCAATGTAAGGGACATTCTTCCCACTGATCACCAATGTAAGGGACATTCTTCCCACTGACCCCCAATGTAAGGAACATTCTTCCCACTGACCCCCAATGTAAGGGACATTCTTCCCACTGACCCCCAATGTAAGGGACATTCTTCCCACTGACCCCCAATGTAAGGGACATTCTTCCCACTGATCACCAATGTAAGGGACATTCTTCCCACTGACCCCCAATGTAAGGGACATTCTTCCCACTGACCACCAATGTAAGGGACATTTTTCCCACTGATCACCAATGTAAGGGACATTCTTCCCACGACCCCAAAGTAAGGGACATTCTTCCCACTGACCCCCAATGTAAGGGACATTCTTCCCACTGACCCCCAATGTAAGGGACATTCTTCCCACTGACCCCCAATGTAAGGGACATTCTTCCCACTGACCCCCAATGTAAGGGACATTCTTCCCACTGACCCCCAATGTAAGGGACATTCTTCCCACTGACCCCAATGTAAGGGACATTCTTCCCACTGACCACCAATGTAAGGGACATTCTTCCCACTGACCCCCAATGTAAGGGACATTCTTCCCACTGATCACCAATGTAAGGGACATTCTTCCCACTGACCCCCAATGTAAGGGACATTCTTCCTACTGACCCCAAAGTAAGGGACATTCTTCCCACTGACCTCCAATGTAAGGGACATTCTTCCCACTGATCCCCAATGTAAGGGACATTCTTCCCACTGACCCCCAATGTAAGGGACATTCTTCCCACTGACCACCAATGTAAGGGACATTCTTCCCACTGACCCCCAATGTAAGGGACATTCTTCCCACACTGATCCCACTGACCACCAATGTAAGGGACATTCTTCCCACTGACCCCCAATGTAAGGGACATTCTTCCCACTGACCCCCAAAGTAAGGGACATTCTTCCCACTGACCCCCAATGTAAGGGACATTCTTCCCACTGATCACCAATGTAAGGGGACATTCTTCCCACTGACCACCAATGTAAGGGACATTCTTCCCACTGACCCCCAATGTAAGGGACATTCTTCCCACTGATCCCCAATGTAGGGCATTCTTCCCACTGACCCCCAATGTAAGGGACATTCTTCCCACTGACCCCCAATGTAAGGGACATTCTTCCCACTGACCCCCAATATAAGGGACATTCTTCCCACTGACCACCAATGTAAGGGACATTCTTCCCACTGACCCCCAATGTAAGGGACATTCTTCCCACTGATCACCAATGTAAGGGACATTCTTCCCACTGATCACCAATGTAAGGGACATTCTTCCCACTGACCCACCAATGTAAGGGGCATTCTTCCCACTGACCCCCAATGTAAGGGACATTCTTTCCACTGACCACCAATGTAATGAGCATTATTTCTATTGGCCACTAATATAAAAGGCAATATACCCATTGACCCCCCCGATGAACTGGTTTAAGGGTTCCCCAAGACTTGAAAATTATTTTGGGGTTTCTTTGGGATAAAAATTATGAGAAAGACTTCTCTAGAATATCTCTAAATTTGTATGAAATCTTATGTCTAAAAGATTACATGGATATCACAAAGGCTGCTCTTCATTGATCCATCCATCCATCCATCCATCTATTATCTATCCATCCATTGTGATAAGGCCTAGTTCACAACATATGCACTGAAAAACTGACGGAAAAAAAAAAAAACGTGCAGATTTCACTTGCAGACATCAGTTTTCATGAATGTTTCATTTTTTCACACGTTGCAGATTCCTGAGCAGAATAAATCCGCAGGTGATACCAGTGTTGCAGTGTGAACAAGGCACATAGAGAACAATTGTTTTCTTTGTGCCTTTGCAGAAAAACTGACATCTCTGCCCATGGTGTGAACGATGCCTAAGTGTTTGTACCTGGACAGTAGCGACATTGGGGGTCCAAACATTGTTCTTGCATACAGGCCCTTTGGTGACCATTTCCACCACTGATACAATTTACTGTGAATAGATGCCATGAAAGGCCTTGTATCCCCCATAGTCACATAATGTACAGTGACCCTAAGCATGGAAGGTGAGGTGGGCAGTCAGTCTAGATGGATGCGGGGGAGTTGTGCATATAGAGGGGGTTGTGGTTGGGGTCTGTCGGGCTACAGACGTTCATGTGGAGGGTCCATGGTGTATTTGGATAGTTCATGTGGAGGGTCCATGGTTTAGTTGGATAGTTCATGTGGAGGGTCCATGGTTTAGTTGGATAGTTCATGTGGAGGGTCCATGGTGTAGTTGGATAGTTCATGTGGAGGGTCCATGGTGTAGTTGGATAGTTCATGTGGAGGGTCCATGGTTTAGTTGGATAGTTCATGTGGAGGGTCTATGGTTTAGTTGGATAGTTCATGTGGAGGGTCCATGGTTTAGTTGGATAGTTCATGTGGAGGGTCCATGGTTTAGTTGGATAGTTCATGTGGAGGGTCCATGGTTTAGTTGGATAGTTCATGTGGAGGGTCCATGGTTTAGTTGGATAGTTCATGTGGAGGGTCATGGTGTAGTTGGATAGTTCATGTGGAGGGTCCATGGTTTAGTTGGATAGTTCATGTGGAGGGTCCATGGTGTAGTTGGATAGTTCATGTGGAGGGTCAATGGTTCGGGAGAAGATAAGTTACCCAGGAGGGTGGTCAATGGCTCAGGTGGAAGGTCAGTGGCTCAGGTGGAAGGTCAGTGGCTCAGGTGGAAGGTCAGTGGCTCAGGTGGAAGGTCAGTGGCTCAGGTGGAAGGTCAGTGGCTCAGGTGGAAGGTCAGTGGCTCAGGTGGAAGGTCAATGGCTCAGGTGGAAGGTCAATGGCTCAGGTGGAAGGTCAATGGCTCAGGTGGAAGGTCAATGGCTCAGGTGGAAGGTCAATGGCTCAGGTGGAAGGTCAATGGTTCATGGTTAGGGACCAAAACATTGTTCTTGCATTTAAGCCTTTCAATGACGGTTTACACTACTGATACAACATATTGTGTATATACGGCGTGTCATAAAAGTCCTTGTATGACCCCCAGCCACATTAGTACAGTCACTATAAGACTGGAAAGCAATGTGGGCAGTTTGAAAGGCTGTTGGGGAGTTGTGCATATAGAGGGGGTTGGGGTTGGTGACTGTCACACTTCAGGAGTTCATGTGGAGGGTTCATGGTTTAGGTGGATAGTTCAGGTGGATGCTGATTGGTTCACGTGGATGATCAGTGGCTTAGACAGAAGGATAACGGTTCAGGTGGATGGTTCGTGATTAGAGACCAAAACGCTGTTTTTGCACAGGGGCATTTTGGTGACTGTTTAAACCACTGAAACAATATATTGTGTATAGATGTCATAAAGGTCCTTGTATTCCTCTAGTCACATAATGTACAGTGACTATAAGCATGGCAGGTGACGTGGGCAGTGAGTCTGGATGGATACAGGGGAGTTGTGCATATAGAGGGGGTTGTGGTTGGTGTCTGTCAATCTACAGGAGTTTAGGTGGATGGTCAATGGTTCAGGTGGAGGGTCAGTGGTTCATGTGGGTGGTCAATGGTTCAAGTGGAGGGTCAGTGATTCAGGTGGATGGTTCATGGTTAGGGACCCAAAAATTGTTTTTGCACATGGGCCTTTTGGAGACTGCTTACACTACGGAGACAGTATATTGTGTATAGCTGTCATAACAGTCCTTGTACCCCCCCATAGCCACATAGCATACAGTGACTATAAGCCTGGCAGGTGATGTGAGCAGTCAGTCTGGATGGATGCAGGAGAGTTTTGCATATAGAGGGGGTTGTGGTTGGTGACTGTCAGACTACAGGAGTTCGGGGGGATGATCAATGGTTCAGCTGGAGGGTCTATTGTTCAGATGGATTGTCAATGATTCATGTGGATGGTCAATGGATCAGGAGGGTAGTCAATGGTCCAGGAGGGTGGTCAATGGTCCAGGAGGGTGGTCAATGGTCCAGGAGGGTGGTCAATGGTCCAGGAGGGTGGTCAATGGTCCAGGAGGGTGGTCAATGGTCCAGGAGGGTGGTCAATGGTCCAGGAGGGTGGTCAATGGTCCAGGAGGGTGGTCAATGGTCCAGGAGGGTGGTCAATGGTTCAGGAGGGTGGTCAATGGTTCAGGAGGGTGGTCAATGGTTCAGGAGGGTGGTCAATGGTTCAGGAGGGTGGTCAATGGTTCAGGAGGGTGGTCAATGGTCCAGGAGGGTGGTCAATGGTTCAGGAGGGTGGTCAATGGTTCAGGAGGGGGTGGTCAATGGTTCAGGAGGGTGGTCAATGGTTCAGGAGGGTGGTCAATGGTTCAGGAGGGTGGTCAATGGTCAGGAGGGTGGTCAATGGTCCAGGAGGGTAGTCAATGGTCCAGGAGGGTAGTCAATGGTCCAGGAGGGTAGTCAATGGTCCAGGAGGGTAGTCAATGGTCCAGGAGGGTAGTCAATGGTCCAGGAGGGTAGTCAATGGTTCAGGAGGTGGGTTGATTGTTCATGATTAGGAACCCGAATATTTTTCTTGCATATAGGCCTTTCAATGATGGTTTACACTACTGATACAATATATTGTGTATATATGTCATAACAATCCTTGTACTCCCCCAGTCACATAATGTACAGTGACTGTAAGCATGGAAGTACAGTATATGGATGTGGTTAGCTTCTCGGGAGTGTACTCTCTGGTATGCAGACGCACGTCCTGTTCTGATGTGAACCACATTCACTTTGAAGGCACTGGTGGTTGTACTCCAAAGCGACCAACACCCAGTCAAGACATTGGCTTCCCCAACATGGTGGCTGTAGCTCAAAACTGCAGACATTTGGGGAGAACTGTATTCATTCATGTCTGTCTGAAGTGTCCCGTGTGGGTGGAAAATACATGGAACTGCTTCTACAAACCTGACCTCCTCTTACCTGATGATATGAGAGGCTCCTGGTTCTCCATCATGATATTCTTGTGTCCTTCCATATACTCCCACTCCTCCATGGAGAAATAGACGGCGACGTCCTGACACCGGAGAGGAACCTGACACACACAATGATACAGTCACCATCCAGACATACCGCTTCTGATCCCGGATAATGTCCCAGAATTCCCGGCACCCCTCACCTCCCATAATTCCCGGCACCGCTCCCCTCCCATAGTCCCCGCCACCGCTCACCTCCCATAATTCCCGGCACCGCTCACCTCTCCTGTCAGAAGCTCAGTGATCTTGTTGATGACCTCCAGAATCTTCTTGTCGTTGTTCCTCTCTGGTATCAGGCAGTGGGGTGGAGGCTCCATGATGGTTCTCTGGTTCCTGCTCCACTCTTCTGAGACACAAGATTGGCTGCTGAATGTCACATGATCACCAGATGTCTTCTTCACCATTGTGTATTCCTGTGTGTTAGGAGAGACATACAAGTCACTATAATAACTATCACAGGACTTGAATCAGAGTTGCGGACATTTTGGTAAAATTTCACTATTGTTGTGAAATACATTGGAGTCAATCAATGGGGGAAGACAAAATGAAGGCGGTTCTGGTGCTTTTAAAGATGAAGATTACCGTATTTTTCGCACCATAAGACGCACTTTTTTCCCCCCCAAAAAGGGGGGAAAATGTCAGTGCGTCTTATGGAGCGAATATAAAGCGGCCGGTCCGGTACTTTTGCGGCCACCATGTCAGAATACCGGCCGGCCGCTCAGCTGTTGTCTCTTGCAGGGACTTACCTGTTCCTCGCTCCAGCACTGCACAGTCTTCCCGCACTGGCTTCTGTGACAGCCGGGTGCCCACTGCGCATGCGAGAAGCGCTGCGCTTTGTGAATGATCCGGTGTCTTCTGGAACACATGAAAGGTCCCAGAAGGCGCCGGGCCATTCACAAAGCGAAGCGCTTCTCGCACCTGCGCAGTGGGCACCCGGCTGTCAAAGAAGCCGGCCCGGGAAGAAGAGGGAAGGCAACTCCGCGGAAGTGGGAGCGGGTACCTGTCAAATTCAGGTACCCGCCCCCCCTCCCTCCCCAAAGGTCAGCAGTCTCTGGTCATCCCCTGCACTGTGTCCGCAGTCTCTGGTCTCTGGTCATCTCCTGCACTGTGTCCGCAGTCTCTGGTCATCTCCTGCACTGTGTCCGCAGTCTCTGGTCATCTCCTGTACTGTGTCCGCAGTCTCTGGTCATCCCTGCACTGTGTCCGCAGTCTCTGGTCATCTCCTGCACTGTGTCCGCAGTCTCTGGTCATCTCCTGCACTGTGTCCGCAGTCTCTGGTCATCTCCTGCACTGTGTCCGCAGTCTCTGGTCATCTCCTGCACTGTGTCCGCAGTCTCTGGTCATCCCTGCACTGTGTCCGCAGTCTCTGGTCATCTCCTGCACTGTGTCCGCAGTCTCTGGTCATCTCCTGCACTGTGTCCGCAGTCTCTGGTCATCTCCTGTACTGTGTCCGCAGTCTCTGGTCATCTCCTGTACAGTTTCTGCAGTCTCTGGTCATCTCCTGTACTGTGTCCGCAGTCTCTGGTCATCCCTGTACTATGTCCGCAGTCTCTGGTCATCTCTGTAAAGTTTCTGCAGTCTCTGGTCATCTCCTGTAAAGTTTCTGCAGTCTCTGGTCATCTCCTGTACTGTGTCGCAGTCTCTGGTCATCCCCTGTACTGTGTCTGCAGTCCATTGGTTCAGAATATTTTTTTTTTTCTTGTTTTTCACCTCTACAACCTAGGTGCGTCTTATGGAGCGAAAAATACGGTAACCTGATTATATTTTATCTTTCCTGACCCCCCCCCCCCCCCCCCCCCCCCCCATCAACAGTGATGTCATCATTATACATAAGATGATATATTAGATCTCATATAAACTGATAAGAATTTATATCTAAAAGACACTTTTTCTGGTTAACATACAAATGACATGACTGAAGTTCCCAGAATCCTCCTCACCTCTCCCGTCATCAGGTAGATGAACTCCATAGTAAGGCTCAGTATCCTCTCCACCATCGTCTTCCTTCCCTCCTCCATTCTCCGAGGACAGATCCGTGGAATATCCGGGAGAGTCTGTCCTAGAGAAGTAGATCAGAAGTCAGGAGAAGTTATATACATTATAACTGAAGTCTACTGCCGGGGACCCCAACCGTAGTCATTCCGGGGCCCGGGAACCTCCTCCAAATCCTTCCATGACCCAATAGAAATACAGGAATGTGAGATATGGATGAAACCATGGAGAAATCCACTGAGTTCCTGGAATTTATAATCACCCAATGAGAGCACGGCTATAGAATATATATACTTTGTGTAATAGAGGGCCCCTGGGAGTGTATGGCCCCAGAGTCACTGCGCCCTACATCAGGGTTGCCAGAGTCCCCCCCCCCCCCATCAAGATCCCCAGAACCCCCCTCCCCCTTACATCAAGGTCCCCAAAGCTCCCTCCCCCCTAAATCAGGGTCCCAAGAGTTCCCCCTCCATCAGGGTCCCCAGAGTCCCCTCTACCCCTACATCAGGGTCCCCAGAGTTCACCCTCCCCCTGCATTAGGGTCCCCAGAGCCCCCTCCCCCTTACATAAGGGTCACCAGAGTCCCCCCTTCTCTTACATAAAGGTCATCAGAGCCCCCCACCACCTACATCAAAGTCCCCAGAGTCCCCTCTCCCTTACATAAAGGTCACCAGAGCCCCCCTCCCCCCTATATCAGAGTCCCCAGAGCAACCCTCCCCCTTACATTAGGGCCCCAGGAGCCCCCCCTTCCCCTTACAGCAGGGTCCCAAGAGCCCCCCTACATCAGCATCCACAGAACTCCCCTCCCCCCTTACAACAGGGTCCCCAAAGCCCCTTCCCCCCTACATCAGGGTCCCCAGATTCCCCCCTCCTACTACATTAGGGTCCCCAGAGCCTCCCTCTCCCTACATTAGGGTCACCAGAGCCCCCCTTCCCCTACATCAGGGTCCCCATAGCCCATTTCCCCTACATCAGGGTCCCCATAGCCCATTTCCCCTACATCAGGGTCCCCAGAGTTCCCCTCCCCTTATATCAGGGTCCCCAGAGTTCCCCTCCCCTTATATCAGGGTCCCCAGAGTTCCCCTCCCCTTATATCAGGGTCCCCATAGCCCATTTCCCCCTACATCAGGGTTCCCAGAGTCCCCCTCCTTACCCTACATCAGGGTCCCCAGAATTCCCACTATGCACATCAGGGTCCCCAGAGCCCCCCCATTATAAAGGTTCCCTGACACCCCCCCCCCCCCCCCCCCTATTATTATAAGGGGGGATTAGGTTCCATTTACCTTTGAATGCCGGAGCCGGGAACGGGGGGTGGGGGAGGCAGTATAAGATTGGTCGCCAAATATGTTGCATCCCTAGCAACCATTAGTTATGGACAGCCATGCTGGGCGGAGCCTTTGTTGCAGAAACACCCGAAAATAACACCCGACAGAAATCCGGGTTTCCTTTACATTCAGCCTGGAGTCAGCCAGGCGGAGATCATATTGTACATTGTCCGGAGGGGGAGGGGCGGCCCGGCCTGGAGGGAGGAAACAAGTCCTGGGTTACCACAGCAACAGACGCTAGGAGCGAGCAAAGGGATGAGGCGGCCATTATGTTGTAGCTTTAGTAATGCTTTTTTACAGGAGCCATTTTCTTGAAGCCGCTCTGTATATTTAAAATGGTCATTTTCCTGTAGCCAGTCTGCGATTACATTAGGCGGCCATTTTTCTGTAGCCAGTATGTGATTACATTAGGCGGCCATTTTTCTGTAGCCAGTATGTGATTACATTAGGCGGCCATTTTTTTGTAGCCAGTATGTGATTACATTAGGCGGCCATTTTTCTGTAGCCAGTATGTGATTACATTAGGCGGTCATTTTTCTGTAGCCAGTATGTGATTACATTAGGCGGCCATTTTTCAGTAGCCGCTCTATGTTTATAGTCAGGCGGCCATTTTCTTGTAGTCTCTCGGTGTTTCTGCTCTCTTCTATGAATGGCCCTTTGATATCCATGGTGTGACAGTGGTCCATGGACTGTGCAGAGTCCCCCCTCCTATACATCATTAGTACATACAGCCCCCTCCTGCCTGTTCATCCCCAGTGCAGACCCCACACACATGGGGGGGGGGGGATTCATTACATAAATAATATGTCATTATCCATAGTAACCAATCAGCTTCTCTCATTCAATTTTTCATCGCAGATCAGAAAACAAAACTATAAAAGTGGATTGGCTCCCGGCTGAGATAAAGTTGGGAGAAATGTGGTCTCAGACACGTTTCATTACCGCCCCCCCATTGTCTGCACCGCGAAATATCACGTCCGCCATTGGTCGGAGAGCGATCGGACTGGTCGGAGAGATTGGTATTGTCTATATTCTCCTCCTTGTGATTGTAATAAAGTTAAACAAAAAAGTAAAAGAAAAAAAAAAATTAAATAAATACAAATAATTAAACAATTTTATGTCGCCATCGCACACCCCTGATATGAAAAGCGCAGTGTAGGGCGACCCCCCCCGTATGTAGACATCAGTTGTGCCGCACACGGGAGGGATCATCGCATACGCCACACTGAGATCTGTTTACTCAACGCAACCCCATCCATTATATTTAACCATCTCCCGTCCGGCTGGGAGGGTGGCAGTGCAGGGGGGGGGGGGTGTTTATAAACGGCCTCCCTGCAGGGGGCACAACCAGGGGGCTTGTGTGCGATCCTGGGAGCGAGCAGCACCGCGATCCGGTGCCCACTGTATCCTCCAGACACAGTGGAACACCGATCGTCGTACGGGACCCTCTGTGTGAGGTCCTGATCATGTGATCACTGATTGGCCAATCAGTGATCACATGCAGAGTAGTAAGCAAGATGTCACTTCTGACATCATTGCTTACTACGTGTGAAATCTGTGAATGATCACAGAGGTCACATGGTACAGGGATATTCACAACAGCCTTGTACCATGTGATAGCCGTCACCAATCACAGCTCACACAGTATTTCTCAATGGCTGCAGGAATGCAGCCAGAGAGAAGGAGAAATGATTGCTTTTACAACCTTTATGGGTGTAAAAGCAATCACTGTAAAAAAAAAAAATCTTCATCACCCCCACAAGTAGTACGGTGTTACCATAGTGACACTGTACTGGTAGGGTGACAGTATGTAAAAAAAAAAATAAAACAAAAAAAAAATAAAAAAAAGTTTAAAAATTATAATTTTTGGTTATAAACTAATTTGAGTTATTTTTGTTTTTACTAAAAAGATAACGGAATAAAATTTGGCCAAGATTTATGAAGAAATATTATTTATTTGCAAACTTTTATAAGAAAAACACTTTTTTTTCAAAATTTTTGGACTTTTTCATTTCATTTTCATAGCAAAACAATAAAAATCCCAGCGGTGAATAAATACCACCAAAATAAAGCTTTATCTGTCTTAAAAAAATGCGAAAAAATTCATATGGGTACAGTGTTGCATGACCGCGCAATTGTCATTCAATGTGTGATAGAGCTGAAAGCTGAAAATTGGCCTGGGGGGGAAGGGGTAAAAAAAAATTACTATAAAATTGCTTTGTTTGCGCTAAAGTGTAATACATTTTTCCCCTAAAAAACTCTACATTTGATAAATAACTGCGCAAATATCATGCAACATAAAAAAATCACAACTGCTTCCATTGTAATCTGCAGGGCCTCGGCTTTCAGAAAATATATACTTTTTGGGGTGTTTACAGCCATTTCTGCTGATTATAACATGGGTCCCAAAACCTTGTAAAAGTGCCCTGGCAGGGGAAGGGTTAAGTCATGTAGGCGGAGCTTATTATCACACCGCCCAGCTGATTTGAATTGATCAGTTACAGAGCTAAAAATAGAATGGTCCTCCTGCTGGTAAAGCTGTGTAACTGCAGTCTACAGCCAGGAAGACACGGATTTATGATGGGCTGGAGACAGAAAACATGGAGAAAACGGGAAAAAAATGCGGGGTGCCCAAACTTTTGCAGACGCCATATTTTTGTTTTCTGTTATCTTAAAAGTGTAAATGATGGAAATAAAATCTAACTTTTGTTGACATATTATAAGAATGTCTAATCTGTAATTTGATGCCTTTTGGAGATTTTTCCATCTTTCCTTGGCTTCTTTATGCACGTTAATACAAATTTTTAGCTGGGGTGCCCAAACCTTCCATCCCCACATATATATATATATATATATATATATACACATATTTTTTTTTTATTTAATATTTTAGACTATGTATAAGAAAAAAAATGTTTTGTATATCTAAATTTTTTTTCATATATATATATATTAGAAAAAAATCTCTCTCTCTCTCTCTCTCTCTCATCTCTCTCTCTCTCTCTCTCTCTCTCTCTCTCTCTCTCTCTCTCTCTCTCTCTATCCTCTGTCTCTCTCTCTCTCTCTCTCTCTCTCTCTCTCTCCCCACACACACTGTATTAGGACTCCCCTCCACATGATGGATAGTCAGGAGCTGTGAATACAGTATATC